ATGAGTAAAGCAAGGTTTTCTAGAGTAAATGACGAGAGTGTGAGTGGTTTAGAATCAGCTTTATTTCGCAAGTGGAATAGATTGACAAAGAAGGAAGTGTGGGCTCAACTCCAATTTAGCGACGACCCAGTTAAATCATTGACGAGCAGTAAAATGAAGATCGCTGATAAATACTTTACCGAAAAGGATTTTTATTGCAGGTTTACTGCGAATGATTTGTTTGAAAATGATTTCGGACAAGAAGTAGTGACAGTGGCGTTTGCAATTGCGAAGCTTGAGCCCGCCACGAAAGAATTTGTGACCATGATGCAGTACAAACATATTAAATATTGGCTGAATAAAACGCTGACTGCGGGAATAATTTTTGGTAATTTGAAATTTAACATGGATGCCATCGATATTTTTTTCGATTTAAAAATTGGAACTTTGAGCTATTTCATTAGTTTGATGAACCCTACGCAACCCTATATAAGGTCAGGGAATGTGTGGGATCTCGCACGTCTGGCCATGAAAGCAATGAATCGAGACGACCCGGCACAGTTGTTAAAGTACGACACTTCACTCTTAGAAGTGCTTTTTGCAAAATGGAGGTCTGAATATATTAAGCCGACTAATCTTTACGAACAAATTCACGGTGGCGAAATCACTGATGATGACGATGAAACCGATAAATCAATAGTTCGCGAATACGCGGACTTCTGCGAACCTGAGCATGAAATCTCCATCCCGTCCTTTACTGTTCCCAGGCGCTCTTAGATCAAACATTTGCATAAATCCAAGGTGCACGGTATATAATTAAGGAAGAGATTTGCAGCAGAATTCAACCGTTTTACCTGGATTGTGTCTTGATGCCTGAAAATAGTCTAAGATGCGAAGTAAATTTTTTTAATGTAAAGGTATTTGAGATGTAGCATTTGTTAAGCTGAATATTGCATTAGAGCCAATTTATCTTCGTTTGTAGGCGCAATCGCCGGTTTAAATGACTTGCACATATGACAGCTCGAAGGAATTGTTGCTCAGAGGTCTGTTGTTCAGTCGATACAACCGAACACGTCGTTTGTGTGGATTCGGCTTCAACACGCTAAAAAAAAAATTACTTCATGAGGTAACGTAAAGATAGGAGCGTTATCTTTCACTGCCAAATACATCTGTACGTCAAATCTTCAAACGCAGTGACTAGTTTAAATGGACATTTACAGTAGCCGGTTGAGCTAGCCTAGAGTTTCCAGGGTAATCCTTTTTTTGTCTGAATCTTAGCGGGACACATATATACCGGTAGTTAGGTCCCAAGCAATTTTTTTTTACTTTTCGTTTGTCAGGCGATCTTTTCTTTCAAGTCATACGCAGAAAGCAAAGTCTTAAATCTTGCTTGACCTGGCAAAGTCAGTAGCGAAGAATTTTAAATTACATTTTTATTCTTTCCGCTAGCAACGAAACATAAATGGATTTGACCTAGAAGGTGATTTCTGCGATTCATAGGAGCTGATGTGTACGATTATAATATGCAAAACCTGCAACCTGCTACAGTGTGTCAAGGAGGGATAGCATTAGAATTCGGTAAGTCATATCAACATTCACGTAACCTAGATCCGCTGTAAATGAGTACAGGCATTGAAAAGGAATCGTTACCGCTTGCCCACTCATATCGTTTTCGGCGTTGTTGTCTTGACCACAACTCGATCTTGTACCAAAGACAGAGATACAATTCATGATTGTACAATTATACAAGCTCGCGTAGCCATTTCTGCGACCAAAATACACTTGTTTTGACCAACAATTCGGCCAGCATGTCAGCTGATATGACTTAACTTGAAGTAAGTTCGTGTATAGCACTTGATGTTTTGTCTCGAATCAACGTGCATGATAATCGCTTCGTTCTCCATTCACATGCTTGATGGCTGCTTGAGTAATTTCCATGATCATGAACGTCTCTCTATCCTCTTACTTGATCATGGCTACTTGATATCTAAATCAAGCTAGCGTGAAAAAAAATTCCAAGACTATTTTAGCAGGATGAGACGAAGTTGTGACACGGTACACTCGGTGTCTTGCTACAGACTCCGATTCTATTTTGCTGGCTCTACACCAATTTGCTTTTCGTACAACAAAAGCACCACACGGTGATGGCGCATCCTGTCACAGAATTTTAGTCAGCCAAGACCTCGCTTTAGTTGGATCATTTCCGCTTTTCTAGCAGTTTAATATTTGTAGTACAACTTTTTCCTCACTAAAAATCTTTAGTAACTTCGCGATACCTTGTCATATTCTTAGCTTCTTTTACAATGGCGTTGCTGCCACCTCACCCAGCGATGCTTGATTGGACGAGCCTGCGCTGACTAACGCACGACACCTTGATTTAATCCCCAGTAAAAAGCGTACCTCAAGAACTAGTTCTTGCACATGCTTTAATAAGGCACTGTATTATTTGGCTAAAAACAGGAGCTAAAAATGAAACGTTATTTACGATCTTTCCCATCCAATCATGATACTGACTTGAGATATTTAATCACTGTGTTACTTTAACGAGCAACGTACGTATTTATCTTTTCCAAATACATGCTGATGCGTCAGGTAATCAAGAACACTATACCATTGGTACGTAGTGAGGAACACGATTAATTTACAGCTGAATAATGCTGTACCGTTTTCGGGGCAACTACTCCAAGGGGTACATTCACATTACACTTTGGTCCACAACTACCATGACAAAACATCATGATTAGTTGGTGGTTGGATTGTTGGTAGACTTTTTTTAGGTCCTTAGATTGCTACCTTGTGCTACATCTTAGCCTATCCATCTAGATCATTTTAAATGCTTTGCAGCTGGCCTGACGTAGCTCTTTGCTTAGAGGAAGCTAAGCTAAGGTCACCGACCTTACGTTCTTTACAAGAACCAGTACGAGTGTAGCAGATCGCAATCTGCTAACTCCAAGAGTTAAACACAACCGTAACCCAAGGCAAATAAACACTTCCGCTAAAAATGTAAACTGTATTTCCTTTGTTTTAATTGCGGCAAAACCACCTATACCATATCTATACGTTTTTCAAATGAAAAAGAAACCTAATTAAAATGGACAACTGGCAGTCCCACCACAGAGTGATATCTTGTTACGGTGTAGCCACACCATTGTGTAATTACTCTGACTTGTGTAATTCACATCTTCGTACGATCACACAACTTGATCTGACCCACCTTATCATTCAAGGGTACGTGTGACCCCGTTATACTCTCCCCATCAAAACTGCGAATACCAACAATTCACATTTAGCTGTCGCCTCGTACGAGGCTCGCGTGTCTAACGTCCCTAGGACCATCTTTACGCATTGACTGCTCGACAAGCCTGTGTCTATGACACGAAAAACACCCAGCCTCGAAAATCTGCGGGCGCCCGCGGATTGAGCCCTTTTTCCTCTCCTGCAAAAGCCGAACAGTACGTCCGCGGCTTCAGGGGAAAACACCCCACGCTCTCGGCAACCGGGCGTCGCACACCACGAACGGGCGAAAAATTATCTCGTCGAGGATTCTGACAATGACTGTCCTGGCGAATCCGCTGCAGATGATAAAAAGCTCTTTGAGCGATTGGTGCAGCGGCACCTAACGTTTTCTCGCTGTTTAACTTACAGCAGAGTCACAAGGAAGAGGATGAGCGCGTAGAACGCCATCTTCGAGTTTTGTTTGCCAAACTCAAGGCGCAACGCCCACTTCCTTCTAATTGTCGCCCTACGACACATGATATCATTCATCACGCTCTCTCGAGTCTGTGGTTTCTCACACTGTTGAATCTTCCACCACAGGCTATAGCTTGTGCTCAGCTCATGCCTCCCCGGGTTCCCATATTACTGCCAAAAAGCGCTGGGCGTACGACGACGCGGAGCGTCATGATCCTCCTGATCATAAGCGCCACGACGTCTGGGCAGTCTTGACAAAGTGGCGCTCCAAACTCCCACAAGTTCTCGGAGTTTGGGTTCCCCCGCCACTTCACAAGACATTACGTCTGACCCTGTCGACGACGTCGACCCACAAGGCGCTCCCCGTGATAGTTGACAACACCGTTCTCATCGAGAAGAGTCGGCAGCGGACGATGACGACTTGGTCGATCGCCGTCCAGCTATCGAGGACAAAGTCCGTCGTCAACGACACTTCGCTGAGCATCTTACCGAGGTCGCATACCTTCGTGCGGAAGACCTCGGGAGCTTAAAGTACCTTGTACACCGACGACATCACGTTGGAGATTGTCGCGTGCTATCGGATTGGCTCCCAGCTATCGAGCAGAGGAATGCGTCACTTCGCGCGACGGTGGAGCGCTTGGCACCGTTGAAAACGGAGATCGTTGCACTCCGTTCTCTGAACGAGTTGCTGGTTCAGCTTTTGGGTGACCAAGTGCCTTTGGGCGCCGCTCCAGTGCCAAAGCTTCCGCGTTCACTTGTGCTGGATCCCCGTACGGCTCAAACAAATCCACAGAAAACATCGGGTGGGTTCGCATCCTTCTCGGAAGGTTCAGCGTATATGATAGACCTCGCTTGGCCTCGATGTGTCACTCCCTACCTTAATAAAATGTGGACGGAGTTTTGTCTTAAAGATAGCAGAGATAGCATGTGCAGCAAGGTTTTTAGCATTTGATTAAACCAGGTGTTTGACCTCAAAGTTTTCAGCGTTTCTTCTGCTTCCATCCACGTATTCTTTCTGCATGTCTTGGCTTTTAGCCATCGCATCGCGAACGTTTCGTAGGACACTCAGTCTGGTAGATAGAAAGTCATCGATTTTTTCACATAGAGCGAGGGGGCTGACATCAGCTAGCAGTTTGGCTATTCCCCCACACCATGCCCTAAGCCATGGGATGTCGGCGTCAGCGGGACGCGAAGATTCACAAGACCGTTCACATAGAACGGCATGTAGGCGGTAGATGAATGCACAGCATTGTTCAGAGCAACTTCTACGAGTGGCAGCATGGTGCTCTAGCGCTTCGGCGTCTCAGCGCACACGCTGCGAAGAACGTATTCAACGACGCGATTCATGCGCTCAGTTTGATCATCGGTCTGCGGATGGTCCGCTATTGACATAGTCAAACTGGTGCCCAGCACCTTGAAGATTGTGGACCAAAATATGGTCTCGATCAGAGACAATGACTCCAGATTTATGTTTTCGAAAGACTCGATTGACAACCATTGTCGCTATACCCACACCGTCGATGGTGTCCGGCAATGCCGAAAGATGAACCATCTTATTGAAACGATCGTAAAGACCACATCACCCGAGTTGTCCGCCAAATCCTTCGGTAGGCCAACCACAAAAGTCATACTCTTGGTCTACCAACAACGGCATAGAACCGGTAGGCTGACCAGCGGCGACGCCGCATCCGTAGAGGGTCTCACCCTTTGACACGTCTCACACGTGCGCATACAAGTGCTCGTCCATTTGTCCAGTTTGGTCCGCCAATAGTGGTTACTCACAGCGCTGTACGTCGCCTCACGACCGAGATGATCACTGAGTGGAGTGTCGTGAGCCTCATAATGGAAACCGAATTTCAAATCCTCACCGTGAGGAGCTACAATTCGTGACGTATCCGTCGAGTCAGTGCTATAGTACAGCAACCGGTCATTTGAAGTATATCGGAGTTTCCGTTTGCGCAAACGCGCCGACAGTTTCTTGTTCGATTTTCCTTGCGCACAAAAGCCTGTAGCACAGCTACAGACATACTATCGCCCGCGTATGCGGTACGGATCAAATCCGTCACTGGCGACATCACCGTCGTGACATAAGCAAGCTCATATTCCGGTTTGCATGACAATGCACCAGCCAGAACATTCTGCTTTCCTTGCTTATACTTCATCTCGAAGTTATAATTTGCGAAGAAGGAGAGCAACTTGGCCATCCTCTGCGAGTGGTGAGGCAACTGAATTGCAGTGCGTAGTGGCGCATGATCTGTGTAGATCACAAACGCCTTAGAGCCCAGTAGGTGCACCCTGGACTTAGCAAGTACATACTTTATCGCAAGTAATTCCTTGTCGTGGACTGGGTACTCTTATCTGCAGCCATATGCTGGCGAGATTCGAACTCGATCACCCGATCCCGCCCCTTGACCTTCGCTTGCAGCAGTGCACTGCCGATGGCAAAGTCCGAACGTCACAGACGACACTAAATGGACGATCGGAGTCTGGCAACGCCAGTATTGGTGCATGAGGGAGGCTGGCGCTGACCCTGTCAAAAGCCTTCTAATGTTTGGTGTACCAGCACCATTCCGTATCCTTCTTAACATTATTCAACAATGGTCATGCCATTTCGCATAATTTGCGCTATATGTAGCTGGCGAGGCCAAGCCACTTGCGCAAGGCCTTTAGGTTTTTTGGAACCGGCCAGTCCACTATGGTCTTTACCTTAGCGGGATCTGCTCGAAGGCCGCGCTTCCCAATAAAGCACCCTAAAAAAAGATTTTTTCCGTCCCGATGATGCACTGATCGGAATTAGCATAAAAGTTCTTCTTGCGCATGCACTCGGGCACCGCTCCCAATCGGACAATGTGACTTTCACAATCTGTCTTCCCGTACCTTGCACGACTGTGGACTAAGATGTCGTCGAAGTATGTTTGTGCATACGCCCGATGGGGTCTAAACAATTGCGTCACAAGACTATTAAAATGTAGCTGGTGCACAGCCTTTGGGGTATCACCAGCGCCTCCGACAGCATGCCGCTCGGAGTACTAGCCGCTGTCAGCGGAATATCACTCGCTCTTATGAGGAATTGGTAGTGCCCATCGACCAAGTCGAGTTTACTATACTTTGAACTTCCAATCATATTGATCTGGAGAACATCCTTTCTAGGAATCGGCGTCTAGGCTGGAATGGTGGAAACGTTTAACTTATTGTAAGCGTGAACGATACGCCACTTGCCGTTCGGCTTCCGGACACAAAGTGTGGGTATCGAATCGGGAGATTTGCTGTAACACACCATATAGCAGCTCCGCACGATTCAATAGATCAAGTGCCGTTCTGTTCATATGATAACTATTCAGTCTTCATTGCTGCTCGCCATGCCACTGCTTAATCACTTTCAGCTGTTTCAGCGTATGTGTTTGGAATGACGGAAGCCCCGCCAGTTGTTGTCGCATACGCAAGTTTTCCATCTTCATCGATCCTTGAGTGCTTCGGATACGGTGAATTTTTGCTTTCATCCTATTTTTCTTTCATCATCCAGCTAAAAGCCGTCTTCCAGTAATAAGGTTGGCTCCCGGAAACGCCTTGACCGCTCTGCGTCCGAAAGAAACATCAAACGATTCCCCTCAGCTTTTCGCAAAATGTGATATTCTCTCAGCTCTTGCCAGTTGGATATCCAATATCTGAGTGATAGAGATTGCTTCAGAATAATTTTGCTCCCTGATTCGACCTCATCCATCTTAATTTCTTGAATAGGCTTCTCGACACTATTCATAGGTTCGTCTATCACCGGTCGCTGCTCAGCAGACAAATGGCTCGCATCGTAATTCATTTCCTTGAAACATGGGTAACTGATTCGTTTTCCAAATACGGTGTGTCGTATGTTCCGTAAACGTCGCGCTCATAAAGCTGAACAAATCGCATTATCTTGATTTTTGATTAATACAAATCATTAACACGATACCCCTGTGTTTTCAGCATATCCAAGAAGCATACACTTATGGCTTTAGGGTCGAGCCTTATATTTTTTAGCGCTGGCAACGTGGGCATATATTTGGGATTCAAATACTCGCAGGTGTTCCATTCGTGATTTCTGCTCAAATTGCTTCTTACGGCGTCCTATCCCTTCGTTCGGTGTTTACAGAACAATTCAACAAATAGACTGCAGTTTTTACAGCTTCTACCCACCAAATCATTGACACGCCCTTGTAATGAAGCAAGCATTTTGCCTGTACCCGTTCCGCTTCACCGTTTTGTTGGGGCTGTAAGGTACAGTCTGCTAATGCATGATACCATCCCGGGAGCACATAGCTGTGACCTTCTTATTCACGAATTTCGTTCCATTGTCAGAGCGAATGCATTTACTTTGCTCTCTCCATTGCTTTTTGAAACTTTATTATATTCGGCGAGCTTCGCAGCAACTTATTGTAAGCAACCACGAAACGCGAAAAATCATTCACAAACGTTAGCACATATCTTGCTTCTCCTCTATACCGTTTACATGGGTCCCATCACACCCTATCAAAACAAGCGATGTCTTGCATATGAATTGTGAATGAAACGGCAACACGTTTTGCATACCCCTCATACATTCACTGGATATAGTCTTAATGTCACGGCGTAAAAGTTGGCATACAATGCGTGACATGGTGAGTTTTGACCATACCACTCTTGCTTGAGTGCTCCATGCGCACGTGCCACAGCACCCACTGATTGTCAGCACCGGCGTGCTCCAGAAAGCGCGCTTCTTTATACTTGCAACCAGGAATAAGAGCTTCGCCGACCTTCGTTAAAGCTTTGCTTTTGCCCCAGATAACACATGAAAATTTAAGAGACTCTACACCTAGACCACGCTCTGCAAGGTTTTCAGCCGATAGACGGCGTCTATCGATTCCTGAAATGTACATATCATCTTGCATTATACCGTCAGCATAACAATTCCTTTGCGAAGAACACGAAATCTATCTCCGTATGCAAAGGTCACATTGATGCCCAATATATATAATATCATCAATATCAAAGAGGGCTTCACGGTATGGTGTCATATGTGATGTCACACCACTATCTACCAGATTCATCAATCCGATTCTTGGTAGCAGCAAATACCGCGTATTTATCAAAGCCATCGCTTCCGCCTGGACAGTTTCGTTTTACATATCCAATTCGATACACTTGTAGGACTTTCCCTTGATGCCATCTTTACTCTTCCTTGGACCGTAATCTTTTTCTCCAGATCCACAATTGCTTCGAAACTACCCACCGCTTCCGTTATCAGGAGACACTTTCTCCGTCATCTCCTAAAGCAACCGCTCATGCTCCTTTAACAACTTCTCCTTGACCTCAATTAGCGAGGTGTCCTCCGCATTTTCCACAATTAACACAATCCGCTTATAATCTGTCGGTTGGTTGCGCAGGAGTACTACTAGCTGTCGCCAATCATCAGCAGGCTCTCCACGTTACTGAATCCGACAACAAATCTGTTAAATGCATCCAGATGCTTGGACATAGTGGAAACACTCTCTATCTTGCTTTCAGACAGGCAGCGCGTCATCTCAACATGGTTGTGAAGCATGGTACGATTGTAGGATTTTCGTTGTATGCTCCAAGCGTGCATAGCCGTTGTTGCAGATAAACCCTTGGACTAGTGCTGTCGCTCAATACTCTGGGTGATGGTCCCCAGTGCCTTGGCGTTGTTGAAAAGCCAAATTTTCGCCATCTCCTCATCCCTCTTAACGGCTTTAACAACCCCTTTCGTACGACCGTCAAGCGCATGTTAAATTCCCCAAAAAAGTAGTTTTTAATGCTTAGGAGAACTTCGGTGTGCTTGGACGTCATAGCTGTGAGGGTGAAGCGTGATGGGAATTTTTTTTTGGTGCGGCTATTAAGCTTTTGGTCTGTTAATGAAACTCGAAGTGAACATCTTAAGGTCCTTAGTTTGCTGAAGTGTGCTACATCCAGAAATGTCGATCTAGATTATTTAAGAAGCTTCTACAAGCAAACTTATTGATCTAGGCCAATGAACGCCTTCAATAATGTCCGTGCTCAAAATCCAAAATTATGATAGTAACTGTAAGCATTACCGTAATCTTGTGACGTCATCCACGCACATTTCACGGTGTAGCACAACAGTTGGGCATGCAGATTTCGTACAAGAAAGGTCCCTGGGACGCAAGGGAGGCTAGACCTAGCTACCTATTACATGGACGAGGAGGATTGTAATTTTTAAGGATTCCTCTATCATTGTCCGTTGTAAACGGTCCCGTTCTTGAATCAAATGTAGAAACAAGCTCGAACTTAATTTTCTAATGAAGACGCTGCTAGAGCTTTTGCGATGCTGGGATCACAAGATACCCGTTCGCTTTGGAGTACGGTGCTCAAGGTATATCTACATCACAGAAGCAGTTCAGCATCGTATCCTGCAAGACCTTTTTGCATCAACTGCGCAAGCACCCCGTGTAGTCGCCTCACTACAGAATATTTTGTCGTCGTCTATTATGTTGTGGTTTGGGATCACTGATAGTTCTTCTCGTAGCACGTCTTTGTCAAAACAAATTATTTTATCATCGTTTCAGCTACTGCGCTAACTGCTGCCATATCAGCGGTTTTTTTGTGAGCTAAGAGTTATCTCTCAGCACAGAATAATAGTGCTACAACTGGAATTGATGGCATTTATTTAACAACAGCAGCGAGTCTCCATCCAAAACTAGCTGCCCCGTGAATCGATAACAGCCGCATTGTATTTTGATAAATATTGAATTTGCCAGTCGAAGGTGTTCTTGGGCAGACAGCACATCTGGTGGACATGATCACTAGACTCAAGGTCTAAAAAAGCGTAGGCTACATAAAGCAATACTCGCTTTATGTACAATAAACAGTCTATGTTATAAACTTTTGTAGCGCATTGTACCAAGAGAGACTGGGTTTGATCGCTGTCAGAACTCTGGTGCCCCACGTCGCTTTTAACACGTCCAGAACCGCTACAAAAGGAGATGTTCTGGTGACCACACGGTGTTAGTGAAAAGCAATGCGCCCATCGTGGCACATGTTACGATTTAGACTGAATGATTTGTCGAAAGACGCGGAAGGTGTTTGAGTGCAAAAGATTGTGCTTCAGTGGCTCGTACAATTTTAATGGTTTGTTCAACCTCTCATGTGTCTTAATCGCTTTCCGAGACTCTTTTTAAACAGCTAAGAACTGACAAATACGTTCTTACAACAGAATAGCCATAGAAGTATTTAACACAGGGCTTAGTTGATTTCTTGTCGAATTTGGATCTTTTGCTCAGTAACCTTGGCTGGAAAATCCATTATCAAATTTGCGCCTTCCAAAAATAAATGGATGCTGGTGCGAACGTAGCATTTTATCTTAAAGTACATCACGGGATTTTCTGGCAGAACATAAAAGTGTGAGCGTTGAAGTCGGATCCATCGAGTCAAATTAACACAGACAAGTTGACCTGATCAACAGTTGGAATTCCGAAGTGCGACTTCCCATCATTAACGGAGAGTAAATCTCCAAGTAATGTTTACTTCCTTCCCTGCGTTGGCGCAAAATCGTATTTTAAGCATGTTGAATGGCAGGTCTAACGTAGTATGTAGCAACACTGGAAAGATACGAAAGCATTTACCTGACAGTGAGGCCCGCTTGGCGGGCTACGCCTGCTCGTCTCATTCGAAAACGACGGAGTCAAAATTTTATTTCTATCGTCAAATTTAGCATATGAGTCCCTCACGTTGGTTGTGGTGAACGACAAACGACTTGTAATTGATATAATTGTTTGCATCATCGCAGCTGTAACATTTGCCATACAGAGATACGGTTGACCCTAAAGGCTCCGTAAACGAACTTGTTTGTATGCTCCGACCAGGAGAAAAAAAATCATTACTGTTACTATGGGTCTGTTTAGCTCAACTATTTCAAGACAATATATGTTGAGCATTGATTATATTGAGACTCATACTACTAATACTAGGTATACTAATTTATTATCTCTTTTGCTTTTTTTTCGGCCGTGCGGCTAGCACGCACCCCCCCTTCAACAAATTTTCTTTATCACAGTCAATACTATGGCGCTAATGAGCACAAAAATGCAGTATGAGCTATGTACAAATGTACATTTATTGTATATAGGAAAATTGTACCAAAAGCGTGAGTATTTCTTTTCATCCTCTCCTAATACGATGTATATCACACTGGCGTTTACATTTTTATGTCTTCATAAAACACTACGCAAGAGTGACAGTTTCCCCACAAGGAAATGGTGGGCATGAAGTCAAACTCCACCCGTTGTATTCTACCGTGCCTGCACCCGAGACTATACCATCACCGAGAGTTTCCTACTGTACACCACAAGAAACGGCTTAATCAGTCCCCAGAAAGCCGCGTTTTTCTACTGACGTTCTGAAAGAAGCTTTCGTTACAGCATCCAAATTTTTCTTCTCTAAAACGACCGCAGCGACTCTATGAATCCTGACAAGTCACCTCCGCCCTCATCCGTCGCTACGCCGCCTTGCCGCTCGCTGAGGAGAAGGTACTCAGGCTTTTTTTGCTGGTATTTGTGCCCTTCTTTATTGGCGGAAAGTGGGGTTGCGACACTTTACCGTGGATTTGAAATGATGCTCATCTCAATGTTGACGAGTAATTCTTGGCTCAAGGAGCTTTCACTTGCTCTACTCCAAGCATAAGAGTCACGCCGATTCTTGCCAAAATATTGTCATGATAATCACAGCTTAGAGCTTCTGCAGCTGCTCGCAGCGTTAGATCGGGTCTTTTACACACCTATGCGTGCGCGTGATCAGCCCACACTTTATAAAAACAAGAAGGTCGACCCA